ATCACGTGTAACCCTTTTTTAAAAAATTTTATTGCATTTTTGAACGAATCACGAAATTGCAATTTTTGAAATTTGAGTGCGTGACGCAGCAATGTGAGATCTTTAGACTGGGCCAACCATAGTAAAATTTGGATTAAAGCATTGAATTTTTTAAAAAGTGGTATGCTGGATGTCTATTAACATGTTTACAAATACTTGAGAAAATGGTGGTATTAATGATTCTTTTGATACATTTTGAATTCTACATAAATCAATTATACATTGGCTTAAAGGAGAATTTCCAGTGCAAGCTCTTGATAAATTTTTTGTATTTTCAATGCTAGAATTTTGTACTTTTAATTTATTTTTTTTACAAGAATTACCTTCTAAATGGTTATTAATTGTTGACTTTCATTTATGATCTACAAGCAATACAATATAATTTTGTCCAATTGGCATAAAAATATCTTTGTATTTTTTTTTCTGGAAAGCAGGTATGACCATTTTTTATATCTTTTAAATTGTGTAGTACAATAATGCAAATGCATAAATCCGGTGGTGTCTCCAATATGGCACAGCTGAATTTACTGATAGTCAGAATTCATTTAGTTGCAAAGACTTATCTGTTGCTACCATCTCTGCTTCAAGCAAGTGCTTATTTTCAGATGTCAGAAATTTAATACCCACTAATTGTTTATTAGAGGCTTGGCAAAGTTTCGGCAGTCGCTAAGAAGTTTTGATGAGCAACCTTACTTGGAACCTGAAGTTGTGAACCAATTATTTGGTTTTTTGTGTAACAATATCAATATTTTATTTATTCCACGAATTTACCGATCCCGCGAAATTTCCCACGAGAATATTCGAAGTTTGATATCGCGAATTTTTACTTGAAAAATTTATTTGTACCAACAGTTAATTTCTTTATTAAATATTTAAAGAAAAATAAATTTACATATAATTCTACCCACAAATCAATGGCATCAATCGTATTATTGCATTTGAATTCATTTAATTGAGAAATTAATTGATCTTTTAATTTTACTTTGTGTTTGAAAAATTGATTATCTTTTTAAATTTATTTTGCTTTGTGTTTGTGAATGAAAATATGAAGGTTGGTTGATTTTCTTAGGAAATTTGATTTGTTCTTGTGAATGAATTGATTCTTTTTGAACCAAATTTTATGATAAGAAAATTGAGCTTTATTTATTTTTTTATTTATCTTTAAAACTAAGCATCCAGCAACAAATAACCTGATGATTTTAAACAACAATATTATCTAGATTTCAAAATTTCTATTTTTCCATGCTTGTCAATTAATGGCAAGCATTGAAAAATAATTTATTGATATTTTCCATTTTTGTCAATTTAATGATCAAACAATATTATTGTTTTAATTTTCTTTTCCATATTCATTGTAGTTAGCTACAATTATTTGCAGCTAGCTACATAATTGCAACAAGTTTTAATAAAAAAGAATATATAGCAATAAGTCGATTTTCACAAATTTTTTTTTTATATTAGGCAACATTGCATTTCCGTTAATATTCTCGTGGGAAACTTTGCGAGGATCAGCAAGTTAACAACAGTAATAGTAACGTAGATCTGCGCATTACTGGGAGGGATTTTTTGAAAGGTCCAGGTCATTTTGGTAGTTAGTAACACTTGGTGCAAAATTTTCCTCATGTAACTACTTGTTCAGGAAGAAAAACTGTTGTTGAATAATTTATAATTAATTACAAATAAAATGATTTGAATTCTTAATAAATAAATAAATAACAAAATAAGAATAATAATCTACAAAATAATTCATTGAAAAACTAATTATAATTAATATAATAATAATAATAATAATAAAATCAGTCATTTATTTTCAAAGCTTGTTTTTATTTGAAATTGGCCAACAATTTATCTAATCGTCCAGCCAAGTCTGTGACACGTGAATCAACAACATCAATGTTTTGTTGAATTGCTGTATCGTTTATTTCAAATGACTTCTCAAGCTAAATTATAAATAAATATAAATATATTAGATTTGATTATCAATTAGAAACCAATTATAAAAAGTACACAAAGAAAGCTTCAAACCTTTTCTGCAACACCATCTAAACTTTTCAATTCTTCACTGATCTTATTTTGTTCACTGGTTAACATTTTAATTGTTTCACTGAACACTGAAGCTTCTTGATGTAATTGCTGTAAAGATTTCAAACGATTAACCAATGCTGGTGCAATTGACATAAGAGGATCTACTTTGTCCAAGAGTGTAAAAAGATAGTTTATCTTTATGTGTGTGTGTGTGTATATATATACACATATATATATAAATTAATTTATTAATTCATTAATAATCAGCCAACCAATATATTAAAATTATTAATAAAATAAGCACCTTCTCTTCAGTTTCAAATGGAATGACACCACCATTTGAAAGTTCTTTATTTTTCAATTCATTAACTTTCTCCAGTTCACCAACCAAAGTCTTGGCTTTCCTGGAAATAGATTCCAAATGTCGTGGTTGTGCCAATAATTGCATATGTTGATCAAGTTTATCAATGGCAGCAATTAAATTGGTGTTTGTTATAGATATTGACTATATTGCATTAATATATCATTATAATGATGGTGTTATTAAATGAATTAATAAATAAATTTATTATTTATTATTTAGCTAATTAAGAACATACAAGATCCTCAAAATTTTGCCCATGAGCTGTACCAACAAGTTTTTCTAAAGCAGCAATACGGTCATCAAGTTCAACTGTCTTGGCTAAAGTATGAACTCTTGCAGTTTCAGGTGTATAATATAATTCATATGTAATCATCTAATTTATTCATAGTAATGATAATAATAATTAATCAGTTAATCAGTTAATAATAACACTAATAGTAATATTACTATTATCACCATCAAATAAAAAATATCCCTACATTTTTTGTAGTTGCATTATCTAAATCATGACCATTAGTTTCAGTTGCAGTTGGTGTATCTTTATCTTTTGAAATCCCATTTTCCTTGGGAACACCTGAGTGTTTGAAAGATTGTAATTGGTTGATTAATTTTTTACTCAATTCAGCTTGTTTTATTATTGTCCCTTCCTTTTCATCTATAGAGTCTGGTTCGCCTATATTCTGAGATAATCGACTAAGATCCTTTTGTAAACTGGATAATTGTTCAACCATGGCACTGTGAAGAGGTTTTTTGGGCTTTGATTCATCATTCTATTGATATATATTTGTTAGCAAGAATGATTAAGTGACAATGGTCCATGTAATGATGTGTGTATAATCAATTAATTGTTAATTATATTATTTATTTACTACCTTATCTTTTTCCAATTCTTCATCAAGCTCTTGAGCTTCAAAAATCAATCTTCTCAATTTTTGTACAGGGGTTTCTCGCAATGTTGGTTCCTTAGATATGTATTCATATTCATTTGTGTCTAAAACAGGACGTTTAACATAAACTTTGTACATGTTTTTTTTACGACGAGTTATACTATCAGAGAAATCTAAAATATAAATAACATATATATATACATGAATTAATGAAATAGCGATGGATATTTTTCATATTCACACACACACACACACACATATATATATAATATACCAGTTTCAGAAGCATCAATGACACTGTCTTTAAACTTATCAACAGCTTCACCTACAGAAATTTTTTCTTTGACAATATTTTCATTTGGTTCTTCAAGGTCAAGGTAATTCTAATAAAAAGATATTTCAGAATTTTTAAATTTTTTATTTTAAACAACAACAAAGTCTATAATAACAATAATAATAAATTATTTACCCCACCGTCTACAGTATCATTTTCTTCAGGCGTATCAGGAGATTCATAAACATCTGGTTGGGTGTCCTAAATAGTATTCATTAATTTCTTAAATATTGGTTTAAACTTCTTCTATCATTGCAAATAAATAAAAAATATTTGTTCAAAGGAAGTAACCCACAAATGAGAACTTACAATATCTGGAAGATTAATATATTTACTTTGAGACATTTTTTTAATAAATGAAAGCGGAATAATAAGCTAAATAAACTTTCTTGATTAATTAATTAACTAATTAATTAATAAATGCAAACAAAACCGACAGATAAAGGCAAATTAATTTTAAAAATGCAAAGATGAACAAAATAATGTGATTTTTCCTACTTTGGATGGTCAGACAAATGATTTTCAAACACCTTCATAGTTTTTTAAAAAAAATTTTATCATTATCATCATGTTATTGCCTTCACTCCTTTTTAAGACGAGTATCTTCGCGCCGAAAAAAAAACGAATAATATTGATACTACTTTTGAGCTGAATGGCAAATTCGGTTATATAGAGAAGAAGGGCAAGAATATACATTAATTGTCGTATTTATTATTATAGTTTTATTTTAATGAGAAAAGTTACATTTAACAAAAGTTTTTATCAACATTTTATAATAATAATGAATGAGAGGGAACATCTTAATATTAAGAACAAGCCTCATTTTATTATGAATTTTTCCCATTAAAAAAGAAACCGCATAACTATGGTATGACCAACAAAACCAAATTCAAAATAAAATAAAAAATTTGAATAAGCTAACAAGCCATATAATCTCTCTCTCAGATCAAACGGATGATTTATTACCATATTATAGATGCATGTCATGTGTCCGAGGACTTCCTCAAAGCAATAGCAATTTTAATATGAGCTAACATATATATGTATGTAATGCCTTGGTAGCAATTATTTAAAGTGCTACCTCCAAAAATTAAGGAACTATTTAAATGTTATATTTGTTTTTTATATAAAAATAATGGGTTTTGTGCGTATTTTTTTACAATTTTAGAAATAAATTAAAATTTCAAAGGGAACAAATCATATGCGTGGATTTTATCAAACGTTACACGTAATATTTTCAGAAAGATTGGGAATTCTGATTATTTATTATAATAATAATAATAATAATGATAAACAAAATGTGGACCCTAAACTACTTGTACTACTACGTAACAAAAAATTACCTCGTGTGTTAAAAATATGTAACGTTTAAGTTATATCTCTTCTTCCTATGTTATACACGCTAACTAATTCTCTCTACACAATATCTTTCTCGTCCTAATTATAATTGATTAATTTGATTACATTAATAATAATAAAATTGTATAGTATATATATTGATTAATCCTTAATTTTGTGTTTAATATTACTATTATATAATCAATCATCCATGAAAATCTATCAACATAAATAATCTCTTCACACTAAATCTCACATAATCTACACGCCTATCCAAATTAGGAAAATACTAGTTCTGTTATGACGTATGGATGAACTCATCACAATTACCACATTACATTTTTTAAAATTTTTTTTTGAATTAATTATAGTTTGTGTACAATGACTACATTATGTTGCACATCGATATAATAAGAATATTGGATTGGGGAATTGTAACTTAGAAAAAAATATTCAACCTTCTATATTTTCTATATTTTTTTATATTTTATACATATTTATTATTTATTATTTTTGTGCAAATTTGTGACTTTCAAACTTTCCTGGTTTTTCTGTCAGTGTAAATGACTTTATATCTAATAAGAAGAAAAAGCTCTCTCACAATAACACATTTTTTAATCTTACCAAAAATTTTTTTGGCTATTTCTTTCTTTTACTAATAATATAAATTATTAAATAACTGATAATAATAAAATAATATATAATAATAATAATAACTCTTTAAATACAACACATTTTCTTTGCCGTTTTTAAAAAAAACATCAGAATTTTTCCCACAATAATAGTAAGCCAATAAATTAATCAATATATATATATATCCAATTCAGAATTACTGAATATTTTTTTCAACGATTTAATAAAAAAATACGTTATACAGGTAAATAATAAATTTACCAATATTATAAATCCATTCGTACTATAAAAGATAGGCAAATATTTATTTATTAATCTTTTTTATTTTATATATTTTTTTTCCTAAAGTTATCCATATTTTATCATAGATATAATTTAGTTTCTTGAGAGGTGTTATATAAAAGCAAAATTTGATAGTTGATACATTAAATATTTATCATTAAAGCTTTTCACAAATCAAAAGTTTGTGAACTTTAACTATATTATTAATTCTTATTATCATATGATAAAAGATAAAATGCAATCACCTTCAAATAGATCAGTCACTAGTGAAGGTTAGAGATGTTTTATTAAAATTTATTATGTGATCATTCTACTCTATAATAATAATATAATAATATATATATTCATTATAGTAGAATCTGAAGTGGACACTCCGACATCTAGTAAATCATCAGATTCACAAAATATTGCTAATTCACCTTCTAGATCACCGTCACCTAAAAAAAATACATCAAAATTAACCGCAAAGAACGAAAATACAAATAACATCATCAAAAAAATAAATCATAAAAATATTATAAAATCAAATCCACCACCACCAACTACTGAGCAAACACCCACAAGATTTTTGGCAGCATGTTCAAAACTCGATTTAGAACCTAATCCATTTGAACAAAGTTTTTCAGGAGTTGCATCTCATAGTGAAGGCACAGGCCAAAGCACACCAAAACCAATCTTACCTTCTGTTGCTCAACTTACTAGTCCGTCGCCTGGTAATGATTATTGGAATATGACTCAGTCTTTGAGAAGTGGTCCTTTATCACCCTCGATGCTTGAAGGGCCTCAAGAACCAATTCTTTTCAATAGCACAATATTACCAAATGGCCGTACAGGGACAACACCGCTTCCTTTTGGCTCATTTTCTGAACAATCATCTACCAGATCTACTACAATTTTTGGTGCTGTCAGCGGAAATTCATTTGTTAACTCGTCAGCCTCTTTGAATTTATCGGCGGCAAATAATATGTTCTCTTCTCAAGGCGTTTTAATGGATTCAGATCGTAAAACTGTTGCAACATCAAAAACAATAGGAAAACCATTAATAAATTCAGTTCCAAATATAACAGTAACTGCTGATAATAATAAAATTTCCTCAACACAATCTACTGACCTATCAAATGGATCAACTAACGTCATGATAACGAATCAAATTGGTCATCAAACAGGTTTTAATAATTTAAAATATTATTTAACAGAAAATTTAAGCCAAATTAATATATTAAATAATTTTATTTTTTACTTCGCTGCTTTTTTCAATTCTATAATTTCAGATATTAATATTATTCCAAAATCAGAAAAAGATACTTATAATAATATGTCAAATACAAATAATCCAATCGCTATTCTTCAAAATAATAACAATAGCAATATTATTAATAATAGTGATGATGATGATATAAGTACAACAAACACATTACAAAAAAATATAACATCATTCGATCAAGAGCCATTATCACCACAAGATAAAATAAATAGTCATAACCATCATAAATCAGTGCCTCGTAGACGAAAAACCGATGACTTTCCTATGGGAGAACAATCTCCCACAAAGAAAAGTAATCAAAAAACCAAGAATGAATTGACTGATGAAGAGAAAAGGAGAAACTTTTTGGAAAGAAATCGTCAAGGTATTATAGATCAATATTTATTTATTTATTTATTTATTTATTTATTTATTATTTATTTATTTATTTATTTATTTATTTATTTAATCTATACTCTGCATTTATTGCACGTATACTCATTTTTTTATTATTTGAAAAAGCCGCACTTAAATGTCGTCAACGTAAAAAACAATGGCTTGCAAATTTACAAGCTAAAGTGGAGTTTCTTACAAACGACAATGAAAATCTACAGAATCAAGCACAATCTTTACGTGAGGAAATATTTAATTTAAAAACATTATTATTGGCTCATAAAGATTGTCCAATTACTCAAGCAAGTGGAGGCTTGACACTAGATACAATAACATCTGGTATAGGTGGGATGCAACCATCTATAAACAGTGTTCCAATAAATATCGGTGTTGGAATGGTTCCTAATCCTATGCAAGCACCGCAAAATCAAAGTGTTCAACAAAATGGTGTACATGTTCAAATTCCTCAAAATATGCCTAATCATGGCCCACCGGGTTCTGGAATGTTGAGATATTAAAAAAAAACAAAATTTTCTTCTAGTAATATTATTATCGTTGTAATAATAAATTGCTCTCTCATTAAAAGAAAACCATGCTAAACATAATAAAAGAAAATTATAAGATATATTGATTGATTGAATTTTTAAGCTAATTAGTTATATATATATATATTATACATGTTTTTTCTTTTTTTTTATAATATTGTACAGTTTTATATATATGGCCTTTAATTTTTACAATTTTCTTTTTTAGCATTTAATTTTCTCGATATATATAATATAGTTAGAATAGATGTAGATATATTATATTAATTACTGCTAAATCGCTTCATTACCATATCACAATTACCATCACCAACTTCTTGTTTAAATCTTTCGTTAAATTTTTTTAATAAATTTATTTTTTATTTTATTATTTATTTTATCATTTTTTAAAAACTTTTTTGTATATATTTTTTTTTTATGTATTTATATATGAAATTAATTAAACAATAACCAATAAAAAAAATTTGAATATGCTGTTTTTGCTCTTCCTTTTAAAATTTAATAACTAACAGTTTCCGTAAAGTGATATCCATATTAATATGAAAGTTTAAAGGCATTTCACATCTTCTCAATCACTTATTAAAACAACATCCAAAAAAATAATATCAGATTGAAGTGAAAACTGACACTATTTTTAAATATATATATATTTACATAGAGAGCTCCTAATAACAAGTGATGACAATCATTAGAAAACTTTAAAAGTATGGTTTCCACTTTGCTTAAAGCACAAAGTTCTAATCTTAATATTATATATCAGATGTCAATACTAAAATCCTCATATGTTTGTCAATAGACCATTGATCTGTGTGAAACGTCTTGGAACTATTATTATTATTTTATTTAAAAAAATCAATTAATTTTTTATATAAAAGATTTCTTTACATTATATATTCAATACTGGTTTTTCTTATAACTCGTTTTTCTATGGCAGCTGCAGTTGAAGTTGATGAAGACGAGGATGATAGCGATGATTCTTTAACAACGGATGTAGTAGTGGGTGCCAAGTTATTTGTAGAAGATTCATTGTTTGTTTCTAAATTAAAAAATAATGTAGCAGTAGTAGTAGCAGTAGTAGCTCCATCTTCAGATATATCATCCAAAAGAATTATATTTTGTAATTGTGATACACCAGATTTTTCATTCATTAAATCAAATTCGTTTTTGGTTATACCAAATTCTTTAAAATGTCCTGATAATTTATACCCCAATAGTGTATCAGGACCATTTGTATCTATAGACATTAAATCATTGCCGTCATCATTGTTGTTGTCAACACCATCGTTACCAACATCACCATTAACATCATTTAATGTAGTAGAACAATTTATTGTGGTATCCTGATTTATTATATCTTGACTCACTAGCGACGATTTCATGTTAAGCCATTTAATTATATCAAATTCTGATGGGTTATTTTTTTTCATTTCCTTTTCTCTTTTAGTTAATCTTTGCATTACCATCTAATTATTATGTCAACAAAAAATAGAGAAATAAAGAAAGAAATATTAAAAAAGGAAAAAAATTTCAATCATTTATTAAAGTTAGCCTTTTAAAGGTGATATATTATATATATATATATTTATTTACCTTTTCTATTAATTTTTCAAGTTTCCGTCGCCATAAATTTAATTGATTTTCATCTTTAATCTTATTCTGTTGTAGTATTCCCAATGTTTCATTCAAACGTTTACTTATTAACATTTTAGCATGATATTTTGCAAATGACAATGATCTAAAATCTTGATCCACCGACCTATCAATCTAATAAATAAATAAATATGTATATATAAAATTTGCCTTTTTAAATAGTAATAATAATAATCCAAACACTAAAAACTTACCTGTACTACTGATTTCCTCAAAAAATTCATAAGAAACGATTCATACTGTGAGTCAACAAATACCTTTTGGCCAATTCTATTCTCGCAATCCAATACTTGTCCATTATATACCTGCTTGGATTCACGAAGAATTGTCTATATTTCAAAATGAATAAATATAAAGAATTGTATAGGTAACTATGTTGTTTACAAATATTATTTATATATATATATATATATATTATACATAGTCATAAGTATGTAAATATATATATATGTGCTTATTTGTATTTGTATAATATTTTTCAAAAATATAATGTTTCCATACCATCAATGCGCAACAAAGTTGTTGCATAACGCTTGGACAAGTATATAATTGTTTGTTCACACTAAATGTTACCCTGTTAACCTTGGGCAATTCCTTGCCTTTTCCTTTCCATATTTTACCATTTTTAGGTTTGGTACCTTGTGATGATGTATTAATAGTTTCAAAGTTACTAATGACAGTATTTTCAGTTGTTCTAAAAACATAAAACGTATTAGTCATTCCGTCTGATATTTGTCCTTTTGGACCTAGTGAGGGAAATCCTGTTGTGGATATTGAAATGATAATACCAGCAGCATTTGGATGCTTTATATATAATGTGTGTATATATTAGACGCATTAATTAAAAGAATAGAAACTATCTTTGAGATATGATAAAATAAAATTAAGACGTTACTGGTATTTGCATTGCTTGTTGTTTTGTAATATCAGCTTGAGTAATAACCGAATTTGAAATAGTTGAGATGTTACTTTTATTTAAAATATAGGAAAAACCACACACAATCATCAATAAGATTAAAAATAATGAAAATGATAATATTAATATTAATATCGATGGAATTTGGAAACATCATACCTTCGATACCAGCCTACTAATACCAGCCCCATAATCTTAAAAATTTTGATAGCTTCTTGATAAGCCAGATTAACCTCTTTCACCGTATCAGTCAATAAAGAAGGAATATACCTAAATAAATAAATAATCATTAATATAGATACAAATGTATGTATAAATGAAAAGTATTTAATAATAAGGGAATAAAAAATTATTAACCTTTCCGAAGCTACAAATTGACTAACATGACATGTGATCATGTTATTGTCAAATTTGTCAATACTACATTTTCCTCCGAGATAACCAAGGACCTGATGTTTGGGATCAGAATAAGCACATTCCAAAAGAGCCGAAAATACTGACTCGTCAATGGATACGCGAAAATTTCTAAGAATAAAAATGAAGGGTAGATAAATTTGATTTGATTTTGTTAATTATCCGAGTCTTTTTTATCTTGCCAATTTTTTTTTGAACAAAAAAAATCTATGGCTACTATGTATATGTCAGTTTTGCTGACCACTCACAATGTAATTGGGAAGTGACTTGCTTACCCAGGACCCCGGTCAATCAGATTTGAGGTCATAGGAAAAGGTTGTAGAAATTTGTTTTTGAAATCAGTTTATAACTAAGGTGCCGAGTTTTTATGTTTGAAAGTAATGAAAATGTGTTGAACGATTAAATACTTGAATAATTTTTGATAAAGAAAACTTTTTAACAACTTTATTTAATGACGATCTTTAACTAATTTACAAGATCGTTTGAAATCCAAAGAAGTTTATACAAAATAGCTAAAATAATGAAAATAATAAACTTGTTCGTTATAATTTTTTTTGCTTGTTATTTTTTAGGTATTACAAAGTGAATTATGCTTTTTTTCATGTCATACATACATGTATATATGTATTAGTATAGAACTTCACACAAATTAACATTTTAATGAATTCTCTTAATAAACATATTCTTCAAGAGTCAAAGAATGTAATATATATTTTTGTTATCAATCGGATAATAAGTGAATAGAATTAAGGTTTGGACGCGTAATATTATGAAAATTATTGTTGGTGTTTTTTTTTATTTGTCACATCCAAAATTTGGTTAACTCTTTACTCCTCAGAATTTAATTTGATAAGGTTAAAAAAAGATATCCCTTTTAGCCTTATCTCTACTCCAAAAAGTTTCATTGTTTGCTTATAATAAGGATAATATTGATAAGTATTAATATTAAGAATTACATGTCTACAAGCTTGTTCAGTAGGAAACCTTTTACAAAAAATAGACCAATTTTCTTGGTTACAATAAACTCTCATTTCACCAACTACATCTACATCAGGATTGTCAATGTAATAAGATTCTTTTAAAACGTTAATTATTTATTGTCTAACTTCTTCATTATTCAACTGTTTAAATTGTAATGATGTTCAATTTCTTGCTCTTTATCAGCCAATTGCCTTTTCAATGTTTTCAATTTCGTTTAATAATTCTTTATTTGCTTGTTGTTGTTCGTTTATAATGTTTACCATGATTTTTGTTAATTATATACTTCAATTTTTAATAAATGCTTAATATCTTTCTTTTTATAAAATCATTTTTGGCATAATTCTTCTAAATCACCTTCAATATTAAGTATATAATTATTTTATTAGCTTATTTTTAAATTTTCTATTTGTTGTCAGCATAAATTGGTTTTGGACAAGTAATATCCTTAAATTCATCCCTTACAAATGGACAAATATTGTTATAAGGTATCCTTGCCTTTTATAATCCAAAGGAGGTGATGTTAACATTAAAATAGATAAAGATTTAATTTCTTCAAAGACATCTGCTTTCTTGATTTTCAATAAATTGAATTCAGATCCATTAGCAACTTCTTTGAACTTTCACTGTACCAAGATTAGATGCTTCAAAAAGAAAATGTTGATACTCTGTATAATTGGCAATTTCTTAAAATAAATTCCCAAAACTGGTTTGATGTCCAAGTACTGAAAACCTTTTCCACCTTCATAACACTGGGTTTTATTTAATCCATCTGAACTAGATCTTTTCACAATATCAACCACATGGTCTAGACAATCTACACTTGTTCTTCTGTAGAGTTTTTTAATCAATCCAAATTCAATTCAATGCTTTCAATAACCACAAATAACTAAATATAAATAAAATCAAATAGTCACATTATTTTTATTTTGTTCACCTGCATCATCACAAGTAACCTTTAGATGTTTTTCACCCTTATTCAATTCCTTGATTCCATCAAAAATTATACTAAGAGTACCATCAGTACCTTTATCTATAATTTCATCTTTATTAAGACATAATTGATTTGTTCCCTTACTGCTTCATCTTGGATACCAAATAAATGGACTTTTACATGGACTAAGATAATAAATCTTACTTACCTGTTGATCAGAATGTGGTACATGAACATTTTGGGCTCAATCATAACTGTAATGAGCAGTGGCATCAATACTGCAATATGGTGTTTTACCCTTTGAATAATGTTGATCAACTAGTTTCCTTTGTTCTTCAGCCAATTTAGTATTTTTATTACAACAATTTCTTTCTAATCTTATCTTGGACAGATGTTCTTTAAATCTTTCGAGTAAATCTTTAGCTTCTTCTTCTTGGTGAGCATTGTAATGCAAACCATTTCAAAAATGTTGACAAGTATCATACAAGTCAGTTCTTGGACTCATAATTTAAATCTCTGGTATCAATTGATGTCATAATTTTCTGAAGGCATCATACTTCAAAGATTTCAAATTACTATCTTCTTCTAGACCAGCCAGAAAATACCTGCAAACAGAACTTATGACTCATTTCAGTTGGTAAGAATGTAACTGATTGAGTTATTTTATTGGTACTTCTCCCTAAACCATGAACTTCGGCATAATTTTCCAGAAAATTCTTTACTATTTCTGCAATATTTTTGTCAATCACCATTTTAGCTTTCCATTGGGGCATCCTTTTAATATTACCATGAACTCTTGTTAAAAGACCATGGTTTATCAAATGATTTCTGATATTTTCAAAATCAGTTCTACCAACCCCTAACATATTAAAGTAAGTTTCTTGACAAAGGAGTGTATTGTGATCCCAGTGATAGAAAGTTCTTTTATTAGATCTAGCTTTCTTTTTAAGGTGTCTGCTGGTGCTTGTTAATCCACTATCCATTGCTTTAAGTTGAGCCATCAAAAATATGTCTTGTTCAGACTTGGAAAGAATTCCCTTAATTCTGCAAATTGTTTGTTTGTTGAGAAGAACAACCACAATTACAACATTTTTCTAAAAAATCAATGGTCTTTTAATATTCATTAGAACCGTTATATTTTTTAATACTTTTCATATACATTTATTACTTTATAATTATTTTAAAATTGGAGAGGTAAAATTAAACTTAGATAAATTCGTGAAATAGTTTTAAGCAAATGATTTAAAAAAAGAGAAATTGAAAAATTTAATTGACTCATCCCATAAAAAGCAATTGTAGTTTAGATTTAATTGTTTTATCATCAGCAAGGAATATGAAAAAAAGTAAACAGTAACTTTATTATAAAATAATAACAAGCAAAGCATCAATGTTTCATATTTACATACTATTATTGTTTGCATTTATTTTATTTCGTCAGTAATGATTAATAAAAGGTTATCTTTGTTAGTGCACTTTTTTACAGGTGGTTAACTGGACTCTTCTTGGTTTTTTCCTTCACCATAAACTTATCTCTATTATAAATAAAAAATTAATTAAGTAATCAATAAAATAGGATCAAGAGACAATTTAAAAATAAAACAAACCAACTTATTGGCGATAAAAATACTCAAAAGAAATTGAAATCTATGGTGTGACTTCAAACAATTATTTGATAAAGAATTGAATTGGATTCTGGTTTTTCCTTTAATGAAATGGCCATTGAAATCCGTGAATTAATTTGAAGAAGGAAAGGGAATTGCTACTTCTACAACAAAAAACTTCTATCAACGAAAAACCACTTCTAGAAGGAAAACAATAGAAGAAATTCAACAATCGGTTGAAAAGTTGAAAAGGAAAAGAAGAAGGTGATAGAAAGTGATGATAAAAGCAATGATGGTATGAATATTAATAATAATATTATTATTGGTAACAGTAGTAATAGTGAAAGTTGAATGTTTGTCAGAGTGCCCAAAGAATAGGTAATATTTACAAATGGCTTTGGGTCCGAGTATTTTTCTCCCATGTAAGTGCTCTGACAATTCTTTAATTTATATCATTATGTATTTTTCTATTATTAGTTGAATTAAAATAAAAATAATTTCTTTTTGTCATTCATAAATAAATTCCAAGTCATATGGGGCATGGACAATAGAAACGACCCAAACGTCAAAAATCATGATTTTGAGTTAAGAGCATTTCTACATGCAATTTATTACAGAGATTAATTTTAGCTTAGAAACCATATCCACTTTGCTTAATAAAATTTTCTGTTAAAGTTCTTAAAAACAATAGGTAATTACTTGTAATGCATATTTTTTTCTCAAAATTGTGATTTTGACGTTCGAGCTGTTTCTATTGTCCATGCCCCATATGTCCACCAAATTTATCATTGGTCGAAATTATGCATAAATTATAAAATTATAACAATTATGATCTAAATCAATAAAAAAAATTTTTTTAATTTTAAAAATGTCAACATACGAAGATATTAAAAACGATAAAGAAAAGGCCGAGAAAAAGTATGAGAAGGCGGAAAAGGATTTAGAGGAGTGGAAAAAAAAGTGGGATGAGAGATTGAACGATTTGAAGAGGGGGAGAGTAAAAGAAGAATACGAAGAGAGAAGAACGATTTAATGAAAGAAAAGGAAAATTTGGAGACGAAGGAGGATGATCAAACGATAAAGTTGCAGGATAGATTATCCGAATTCAATGAAGAAAAAGGTAATGAATAAATTGCGTAAAAAAAATTTGTTCTCTATTTATTCCATTTTGTTTGTTTATTTATTATTTATTCATTTGAGAAAGTATTGATATACTTGTTTATAACTTTAACTAACTTGTGGATTTTTTTTCTTTTGTTATTTA